AAACCATCTTTCATACCGATGTTGACGTCATCATGTACATTTTTTGAATGATGAATATCTATTAACTTTGCAGCAGCCAGTATAAACATAACACTATTCTTGCTGGTGTTTTGAAAATATAATGCATCATCCTATAAATATGATTAATGTAAGAATATAAAAAGTGGGTAAATCTGTAATCAATTAAATGCACTAACCAAAAATATGGATTTTCAGACAAGAAGAACTGTATGCAATGGCCTATAAACCCAATAATCAATGCAGTACCGATAAATATAGCCAAAGAAATCCATTTCCGACCATTATAAAAAACACGTTTACGTTTTTTTTTCCATGTTGGTCGTTGAGCTAAATTCCGTGAATATATTAATAAAGGTGAAAGTATTATTCCTATCAGGAACATTCCTAAGATTAAAGCAACTTGAAAAATGGTAATCTCGGTTGGAAAATGGCGATTTAATGACGGAATCTTTACAAGTTTGAACTATATTTCGTATCAAAAAAATCTTAATAATGAATAATGATTCACACATTATTATAATATATAAAAAATCAAACCTTTCTAGCGGTGATGACCCATAATTCTACAGCAAGCAATGTTATTGCCTGAGCGACAACTGCCAATTCGCCAAACGTGAAATTCTTTTTTAATAACAATGCGATCGAATATAATGATGTTTGATAAAAAATCTGAGAAAAAAATGTAAGTTGCCATGGAAATTCTATTATTTCATTAGAAGTAAATAAATTATGATCTCATGAAAATATGAATAAGAATTTTAAATATGCCTAAATACAAATAAGGGTGAATATGGATAATTTTGATGATATGATAAAGTGGAGGATTATTAATATGTTATTAATAAACTTTATTAGTATCCTCCATATCCTCCGAATTACCCATATTTCATCCTATAAAGCTTACTTTCGAATAAAGGTAGGAACCTTAGGTTTGCCATAAAAAGAACCAAAGTTATAGATAAAGCAGTAGCTATGAACATCGCCCAAATGACGGACATATTTGGTAGATTAAAATGTTTAGACATGAACATATGAATCAAAACTCCACATCCCATCACAATACAAAGTTCAAAATTTGCTTCAAAAAATTCTAATCGATATTCGTATAAAAAAGAATAATAAAATAAAATAAAAAAATATATATATTAAATATTTACGTTTATCAATATGGGCCACATCAAGAACCCAAAATTATGAACCTATATGGCCCGCTCACCCTAGATCAAGAAACCATCTTTCATACCGATGTTGACGTCATCATGTACATTTTTTGAATGATGAATATCTATTAACTTTGCAGCAGC